AAAACAGTTTTGCAAAACAAATTGCACAAACAATGTGCGCAAATCTGCTGGTTAATGCTGATGAACCACAAATTGCGATTTCAAAAATATGCTAGAATCGTCCTCATATTTGTCTAAACATTCACCGCCGCTAGCATCATGCTGCCCATCGAAATTGCTTTGTTTGGAACCGCCGGTAGAGATTCGCGTCGTGTCAAAGCAGCCGTGATCTGCAAAACATCGCTCGAAAGGCTCGAGTCTCGAAATGTATTTATGCTGTTGCACAGCTCAAGGCTCCTTTACATCATCACAAACCGTCAGAAGCATGCATGGCAACCAAGCTTTGTAAAAACGACTTGAGCATGACAAGGAAATTCTTTCAAAACCGCGATGTTTGCAAACTGCACATCACGAATACCGTCGGACCCAAACCCAGTATCTTTCCTTGAAATTATGTTCGCGACTCGAATATCTAATATGAATTTAATCACAATGGAATCTCCAAAACATGACCCGATGCAAGATTGCAATATTTACAAAGTCTAAAAGGAGCAATCCGACGCAGGCAGAAAAATCTTATCACAGTTATTGACAAAACTTGCGCCAGCCAGCTGGCATCGGAGCAAGTGGTAAACTCACCTGTATAAAGAACGACATCGTCTTGGCAGGCACCGATGTGTCGTTAAGTCTGAAATGGGCATATGCGAGGATGCGTGGTGAGTTCGTGGTTGACATATGTCGCTGAATATGTTTTAATGTGCTGCAAATGGAAGGACCTGGAAGGCTGGAAGAGTTTTGCAACGGTTTGTGGCAGCTGGAGTGTCCCAGGATTGGCTGGGCTGGAGCGGCTGGGCTGTGGACGGGAAGATCCGCGGGAACGGTGTGAGCCCAGGAAGTGCAAAATTTGTGCAACCCGGGGTCGGTGGTGCAATGGTCGGTGCAATCCGGGAGCAATTTTTTTGCAAAACTTTTGCAAAATTTGTGCAAAATTTTTGCAAAAAACAATGGTTTTCGCAAAAATTTTGCAAAAACCCTTACGTTTTTGCAAAAACAATTGCATAAATTTTGCGAAAATTTTGCGAAAATTTTGCACAAATTTTGCGCAAATTTCGCACAAATTTTGCTCTACCCGGTCCAGGCCTGGGCTCCGGTCTGGGGCCTGGGCCTGGGCCGGCCCGGCTGGGGTCCGCGTGGGGGGCCGAGCTGAGCTGGGTGTGGGGGGGCTGGGGCTGGGCAGCGGCGACTGGGCTGAAAATTTGGGAGTCCTTTGCCTCGCACTTAAAAAGCAACCTTCGCCCTTCATCGGCCTTGCCTGGCCTTGATGAACATTGCTGTCAGGTGGGGCAGCTAGCAGCTAGCAGCGGCATTGCACCAGCTAGCAGTTCGCAGCAAGCATAGTTTGTAATAAAAGGTTTGCGAAGAATAAGTCGATCTCCGAGCGGTGGCCAAAGATCAAAACAATCTAATCTAAATAAAGCAGCTTGTGAGTCCACAGCTGAAGGCCTGTTTCGAATCGAAGATACAAATTTTGTGTCTGCGTATTACACCGGTCCACACGCCAACAGGCTTCCCAAGCACTGTCGGCCCACTGGGTCCTGGATGTTCGGGTCGGTTTGCTTCTAGACTTTCCAGACCGTGCAACCCATCGTGGCCACGGGGTGCACCACATGACAAAAAACAAACACGAAGCCGAGTCAATCCGGGAGGCGCAGATGTCAGACAACCACGGTCAAAAGTTGAGCGGCCCAATCGGCGACCTACCAAACAAACAACAAAGATTGTTGAGCTAATGTTGCAAACGGTTTCAAACTGTGACATGCTTGATGCACCCGATTTCAATTGGTGACATGCTTGATGCACCTCCAAACCCAATTCGCTAAACAAACCCTACACAACAGAAACGAAAAAAAGAGTGCAACCAACTAGGCAAAACAAGCCAAATCCCCCAAAACCCCACGAAATAACCGCAAAATGGAAGAGCAAAAATTCTGCCAAAAAAATTGCAAAGTAGTTCATTTGCACCAAATTTTTTGCAAAATGGTTGTGCAAAACTTGCACAAAATTTCTGCAAAAATAATAAATTGAGAGCATGTGCAGTTAGGTACTAAAAATCTCATAAGTTTAAGGGTTGCAATCATAGTCTTGTCCCCCCTTAAGAATATGTAGGCTTTAGGGTTTGGGGTTTAGGGTTTAGGTTCCCCTTTACAACCATGTTCTAGGATGCCCAGCAACCTAGGATGAAATCAAAAAGGGAAAAGGGCCCACTGGGAGACACAGTATTCTTGTCCCTCCTCACGAATATGTAGGCTTTAGGCTTTAGGCTTGAGTGTTTAGGGTTTGGGGTTTCTACGACTACGAATTGCTTTCAAAAACTCCCTTAAACAGACCTCTCTCCGAGTTTGACAGGGCTTTATGTGGGTTCATAAGGACTTCAGATGCCCAGAAGCACGATCCAAGATCCGGCGGTTGATGCCAGCAGCCCCGCCTCTACCTTAGTGTTATGAGGCCCATTCAGCCACAGAACAGCATTCACGAAAATGGCAGAATGGCTGCAAAATGGGGCTGTGAAACCAACGTCCATGTCAGTGGAGTGTCAGAAATGAGGTGTTGTTCGAATGTGGAGAATGCATCCCTTGTTTCAGGAGGTGTTAGCGAATCCTGGAATATGCAGCCAATTGCTCAGGAGGCATTTGGCCAGAGACATGATAGCTGGCAGCGGGTAGCTACGACGAATGGGAAGCCTGCCTTAACCCTAAACCCTTAACCCTTAACCCTTGACCCTAAACCAGAAACCCTAAACCCTTAACCCTAAACCCTAAACTCAGCGTGGAGAGTGTCCTTCCTCTTCCGTCTCCCCTTTTTTGGAGCGGCTGGGTTCAGGGTTTAGGGTTTAGGGGCTGCGAAATGGAGGCAGGATTGGACATCCATTTCTGGGGGGCTGTCCGAAAATGGATGTCGAATGGACGTCCATTTCCGGACCCCCACCCCACCCGACATCCCTTGTACATCCCTTTTCCAGGTAACATGGATGTAAAATGGATGCTCCTGCATTTTCCGACCCCCCGCCCAACATCCATTTTACATACATTTTCCTCCTCGGGAAAATGTCCCTAAAGCCCAAACCCCCAAAACCCCAAACCCTACACCCGAAACCAAAAAAAAACCGTAAAGCGTAAAATACTAAAAAATAGTCACCAAAGCCCTCACGCCTAGAGACCCTAAACCCCAAACCCCAAGACTCTAAACCTTGAACGCCTAGAAGCCCTAAACCCCTTAAAGCCCCAAAACCCCAAAACCCCAAAACCTCAAGACCCTAAACCTCTAAAGCTTAAACCCTAAACCCCGAAACCCGAAGCCCTAAACCCCCCAAAACCCAAACCTCAGCCTTGAGCACCCGACCCCTAGCATGGTCCCTTAACCCTGCCATCCTTAACCCACCTATAGTAGATGCCATAAAGTTGGAAACCGAGTTAAGGACAAATAGTGCTGGGATTCATTCCCTATACATTACTCTTAACGATTGAGGCCATTCTACTGTATTATTTTCCGTATATGTACCCCTCAGAGAAAGGCCTAAGGGTCCATATTAAGGGGCCCATACTTCTAACCTTAGCTTAAAACCCGAAACCCTAAACCTTCCTACACCCTAAACCCTAAACCTTCCTAAACCCTAAGCCCTAAACCCTAAACATTCCTAAACCCTAAACCCTAAACCCTAAACCCCTAGCCCCAAAACCTTTGAGCCTTGAGCCCCCGACCCGGCTTATCGAACTCAAGCATCTCCTCGATACCAATCCTCGGCTCCACAATACTATAGGGTTTAGGGTTTAGGGTTTAGGGTTTAGGGTTTAGGGTTTAGGGTATAGGGTTTACGGTTTAGGGTTTAGGGTTTCGGGTCTAGGGTTTACGGTTTAGGGTTTAGGGTTTAGGGTTTCGG